AAAAAAAAAAAAAAAAATACAAACAATCCGGCATATCAGTTCTTAAATAAAAGTAAAAGATAAAAAGACGAAACATAATTTTTAAAAAGAACAAACATAAAGGACAAATAATAAATTAAATGGGAGCCGTAGTTTCTGGATGCTAAAGAAAAATCTTTCACTTTGACCTGTTGGATTAAATAACTTAATATCTAAATAAACAAATACGAAGAAATTATAAAGTAAAATCAACATATTTTTTGAATCAGAGATTTTGAAGAGGGTGGGGCTGGAGGGGGAATCTGGATATGACTTCATGGCTTTAGCTCTCTAAAATCCTGCTACAGCCCTAAAATAAGAACATACTGTGTGTGTGTGTGTGTGTCTGGGGGGGGGGGGGGGGTCTGTATTTAGCCTGGACTGGGTCCAGTCTGGACCAGTCCAGCAGGATGATATTCTATATGGAGGTGTGTCTGTGGAGCTGCAGCTGAGTCACACTGAGATTACCGTGGAGATCTCCTACCATTCAGTCCAGAAACACTGGAACCTGTATTTCCCACAATGCACCAGGACAGGCTCCCTGCTGGTCAACAGACACATCTTGTTTGTTTTCAAGAGGTTTTTGATGATTGGAGTTTCAAACATTCCTCTGTACTGAGTTCACATGGCTCGGTGGACCCAGTCCCAACACAACGGATCCACATCTGGACCGGCTCTGGGACAAGCTCTGGGACCACCTCCGGGACCAAGTCCGGGATCAGGTCAGGCACTTTGAAAACCTCTGGTTTAAATCAAGATTTCGCCGCAACAGACAGAAGGACACTCAGTCACGGTGGACCTCACAGCTTTAACAGGCCTCAGGCTTTTCTCTACAGAGACAGAACTACAACAGTGCTGGTCCTGTCCTCTCCTCAGTCCACCTGGAACCCAGTCCACCTGCAGACACGTCCAGACGTCCAGCATCACTGTGTCAGAGAGGGATGTCTGACCATTGAGGGGTCCATGAGGAGGAGAGCAGACTCCCCCAGTCTGTGAACCCGTCTGTAACTGAGAGACAGTGGAACACCACATCAGCCCACTTACTGACTGTACAGACTGTTCAGTGTTTTCCAGCCTCTCTCTCTCTTCTTTCTCTCTCTCTCTCTCTGCCGCCACCCC